TGACTGTACTGTGATTGTGTAATTAGTCTAACTTTATAATGAAAAAGTGTGTCACTGAGGTTATGAAATTTGACAGACTTTGATACTTTAACGAGTAGCTGTTTTAACATTCTTTTACAAAGTGTAATAACTACTAGTGTAATAATAACTATAAACTTATTGAATGTTTACCACATCTTTTTTTAAATTAGTCATATATTTACTTATAAAATTAAGGTACTTAATAAATAAAACAATTTTATAAACATTTTGTGGTAATTATTAATTATATTTTGTTGTATATTTCTGCCTATATTGAAATAAATATTGCCTCCTGTTGTGGTTGGAAGGTCTATTATAATTATGCCTAACTCTCTTTTTTCAGGCATATCAGAGAATTCAAAGTTGTGGGCTATACACAAATTGTGTAATACACAGCAGTCGTTAATTATTTTAGTAGCCTTATTAGGTGTGTAATGTAACACCCTATCCTTTTTTAAAGTATTAAAAGACACCTAAATCGGCCCTTTTGCACTCCATTACAACGCTCGATAGTGGATCGCGTTTTCTTAAACTGTCAAACACCAAGCGGTCACCGGTGACCCCAACCTATTGTTCTTTAATTCGGTAAGTCCCCTCTTTGAGGAGTGGCTTGAGAGACGCTACGGCGTCCTCACCTACCGCCTGACGCAGGTCCTCACCGGACATGGAAGTTTCGGGAGGTACCTGTGTCTGATGGGGCGGGAGGAAACGCCCGGGTGTCATCACTGCGAGGACCGCCCTGAGGACACGGTGGAACACACGGTGGGAGAATGCCCTTCGTGGGCTGAGCACCGCCGTGTCCTCAGGGAAGTGATCGGCGATGGCGACCTCTCGCGTCCGGGCCTAGTGCAGGCCATGATGCGGAGCGAGGGGGATTGGGATGCCGTCTCCTCCTTTTGCGAAGCAGTCATGCTAGCTAAGGAGGAGGCGGGACGCGTGAGGCAGCGAAGCGCTGCCTCCTCGCAACCCAGCCATCGCGAAGGACACACCGGGCGTCGGGGATCGCGGGACGATCTCCGGCCACCGTAAGCGCGGGCCTGCGGACGGCGAGCATGGGTGGCTCCCCGTCCGACCAGAAACAGACCCGAGCGTACGGCGCGTCGCGTTCCGCGCGCGCCTCAAAGAGCCATCAGACCACCACAGATGGGGCCCAATAGGGCCGATGCCGATTCGGAGTCGCGGAGAACCTAACGGGTAACCGGGGCTCCGGCTCGACGTGCAGGAGAAGGAACGGGGTGGTTTTTAGTCAGTAAGAGTCTGACACTCCCTCCCGCCTCACCCAGGCGGGGGCAGTCATTCGATGAGCAACCTATTGTTCTTTAATTGTGTCTATAATAACGGTGCTCGACGAGTTAAGTGCTTCATTGTAGAGAATGCACAAATCGAAAAGTCTATACCGAATTTCCAGTAGGTATGAGATGCAAAGCCGTATTTTATTTCAAAACGAAAGAAAAAAGACACTACAATCCCAAAATCAAACGAATTCACTCAGAAATGGCGTATCTCTACAATCGACATGCCATCTCTACTGCTCAGAAGCACTCGACATGAACTCTAACGTTAGCCTTCGACAAATGTCGCATTCGACATCTCCAGAATAGCAACTTTTAAAATTTGACGAAAAAATGACGTCATTAGACATTTTTGTCGAGTTCGACATCATCTCTAAAGCCGAGAATTGGCCCCCTGGGCGTCGGGGATCGCGGGACGATCTCCGGCCACCGTAAGCGCGGGCCTGCGGACGGCGAGCATGGGTGGCTCCCCGTCCGACCAGAAACAGACCCGAGCGTACGGCGCGTCGCGTTACGCGCGCGCCTCAAAGAGCCATCAGATCACCACAGATGGGGCCCAATAGGGCCGATGCCGATTCGGAGTCGCGGAGAACCTAACGGGTAACCGGGTCTCCGGCTCGACGTGCAGGAGAAGGAATGGGGTGGTTTTTAGTCAGTAAGAGTCTGACACTCCCTCTCGCCTCACCCAGGCGGGGGCAGTCATTCGATGATTTTACCCCATTAAAAAAAAGTGTATTCTTGCCTTTAGAGCATGTGTATCGTGTCACAGTACCAGAACCTTTATTTGTACAATGGAATTGTTAGTTATTAAAGTATAGAAATAAAAGGGGTGATGCAAAATAATGTTTTATTTCCTAACATACTACTAGCTTGTAGAACAGAGTGCAGTATCAACGAAATCAGACAGCTCATTTATTACATTCTTCGTGTCTTCATCATGTAATTCTACCTTCACTTTCATAGGAATAGGTATCCCTGACAACTCTTTATTAATCAAACGTAATGTATCATCATTGCCTTTAGCCATAGAGTTTAAAATCGCACGAACGTTCTTTGGTACTTGCGAGTCATCTAGTTGATTCAAAATCTCTTCAGATACTATTTTGAGAAATACTGACATAGGACAGGTTAGCACTGTAGATGATGCGGCATCTTTATTCAAGTTTAATTTATCTTCAGAATTCAGATTACTTTTTAAATTTCCCAAAGATTTTGGTTCACAATTTTCATCGGCGTTAACTGAATTACAATTTTCTTTGTCTTTCTCTATCTGCTCCGTGTCTCTTTTTAATCTTCTGATGAAATCAAATGCATTGCCTACTAAACCGTCAATCGGTAAATTGTTCGAATGTGGAATAAGACCTCCTTTCAGAATATCTTGTGCCAAATCTAGATCTTGTTTTTTAAATATTATAGGTATTGGAATATGGTTTTTTAGTTTTATCAATGGTACCAGCGACCTAAAGGAAGGAGTTTCTGCTTTTGGCAGCTCTAAATCTTCATCTATTATCACTGGAGTATCATGTTTAGATGCATCATGATCTGTAAAATTTAAATTATCATTTTTGTTGCTTATATTTATAGAAGTTATTGTTTAATTAATATTGTTGTTTAATTTTATTGTTCATTCACTTTTGATGTTAAATATGTATGGTTTTTGAAAGTGTCAATTATTATCGGTCCTGATATTTCTTTATCATATAAGTGGTTCCTGAATGTATCTTTTAAATCAGTATTAGCTGTCGAGTTGCTTAAAGTATCTGTATCAATTTGTACATTTGTTATATTGCCTGAATTAAGTAACAGAAAAACGTGTTTATAATTAAAATTACTAGCGTTTACTTCTAGAAAATTGCTTACAACATTTTTAATACTTGATTTCACTAAATCACTAATTTCAGTATTATCTAATTTAATATTTGTTATTTTTACTTCAGTTGCGTTATTATAGTTAATTTTATTATTATTTATTTTCATAGTTTCATTGTTAATAGGAGAATTTATACTAAAATCGTGTATAATTCCAGAATTAATAATCAGAACAACTGTTTCTCGTTTATTTTTCACCGGATCATTATAGACAGATACATTATCGTTTTTGTTTTCATCATAGCTATAATTAGTAGAATTATTTTTAGATTGATAATTATTAAAATCCTTCCAAACTTTATCTATATTATTAATAGTATCATTAAAATCAGTACCGTTTGTTCCTTTTTTATCAGATTTTGTATTAATTTCTTCTTTAACTTTATCTCCAGTTGCGACTGTAGTTTTAGCGCCTAGATTATCGCTATTATCTATGGCTGGCTCAGTAGCGTCTTTTAGAGAAATTGTAGATTTCTTAACTTTTGTTGATACAGTTTCATAATTTTCCGCAGTGTTTGGGTCTAGCGTCTGCAAAATAAAAGTTTTATTAGTTTTTACATCTACTTTTAGTTGGATTTCAAAGTGGTTACCAGAATTAGGTTCATCCTGATGAACGATTGTGCCAATGGTGACTAAATAGTGATTAGAAGATTGATACATAGTCTTGAATTATAATCTAATGCTGATTAATAGACTTGTTCTTGATTACACAATATACATGGACTAGTAATCAAAATGACAAAATTTTATTTAGACTTGAACAACCGGTGTAGAATGGGTGTTACATTGTACTTGTGCATCTCTGTCTACTGTTAAAATGCACAATATTATGTGCGTGTGTGTGGACTGCCTCGTTGGCCGAGTGGTTGCAATTGCGACTGCGTCAAGGGGTCTCGGGTTCGATTCCCGAGTCTAGCAACTAATTACTGGGTTTTTAAAAAAAATGTGTAGCACGGAGTCTAGAATTGTGCCCGGTATATGGCAATAGACTCACCTCCTATTACATGAGACTCATAACGTTAATAATGAAAAGTGGGTGTTACAATGTACAGTAGCATTAAGTGTCGTAATGAGCACCCCTGTCAACCCCTTTGGGATAAAAGGTGTGATGGTATGTTATATATGTATGTGGAGTACCATTTCTTTGAAACTAATTTCAATTACATCTTTGCCCTCTTTGACAGTAATATCTAGAATGGTGTCATATTCTGTTTCTTTATTTATTGTTTCAGTGATGCAGTCCTGGAAATGTACATTTTCATCGTCAATTAGATGTGTAAAAGTAAATGGATAACTCACGACACATATTTTAAATCAATATGTGTCGTGAGTATTTTATTTCGGCGCGAACTGCGGAGCGGCGGGGACGCGACTATTCGCGCGGCGGAATTTGTAGGTCACAGAGCTTTTTATTATAAGAGACGGTACTTTTTTTTAAGGGGCGAAAATCATCGAATGACTACTCCCGCCTGGGTGAGGCGGGAGGGAGTGTCAGACTCTTACTGACTAAAAACCACCCGTTCCTTCTCCTGCACGTCGAGCCGGAGCCCCGGTAACCCGTTAGGTTCTCCGCGACAAAAGACTTAGAATTTAAATTTTTGATGATTTCATAATCGATTTTATACTTTACTACTTTGCGCGGCTTTACACACTCTGCTCAGCTCCTATTGGTCGTAGCATGATGTTTTATAGCTTATAGCCATCCTCGATAAATGAGCTATCCAACAAAAAATATAATTACTCAAATCAGACTTGTAGTTACGGAGATTAGAGCGTTCAAACAAACAAAGAAAAAAAACAAAGTCTTCGGCTTTATATAATAGTATAAGATATTAGATAAAAAACAATTCTTATCAACAATAAAATCTGACTGAATTTTCGTTTTCCTGATTGATGGCTACCGCAGGTTACCGACTCCATACACAATTGAATTATATTAAAAGTTTCGTGAAACTAACTACTTAATTAGACTAGTTTCAAGCCATGCTAGAGGCTTGAAACGGTTCCGTGAGTAAACCGAAAACATAATAATTAAACATGTATAAATGAAGAAGCTAAGTTAGCCCTTCATTTAATTTAAATTTCCCGCGTATTTTTACCGACTTCAAAAACAGGAGGAGGTACTATGTTCGGCTGATTGTTTTTTTTTTTTTTTTTTTTTTTTGTTTGTTCGCGCAGTACTCCGCCATTTGTGAACCGATTTCCAAAATTCTTGTTTTGTTTGAAAGGGTATACTCCCGAGATGGTCCCATTTCCATGAGGTCAGGATCTGATGATGGGATCCTAGGGAAACCGAGGGGAACTTTCGAAAATTCTATGGGCGAGTAATGCGTCTATTATGTTTTTCAATTAGGATTTTGAAACACTACAATTTGATAAGGGTCTGGAGTTGACCTGATGATGGAGCCGACAGGCAGTCGAGGGAACTCCTCAGCGGTTTATATTAACTACCTTGAGTTTGGGCTTGATTAATTTGGATTGATGAGGACTTTACACCTAAATAGAGTAGGGCTGTCATTAAGGATCTGATGATGAAGAAGTGTAATTGTTAAAGGAACTCCTTAACGGTATACAGTAACTACCTTGTGTTTGGGCTTGATTAATTTGTATTGATTAGAACTTTGCACCTATGTAGATTATAAGTAACAAAACGGGTATATGTAGCTTTACACTGAAAATGATAAAATAATAAAATAAAAACTGCGTTTAAAAAACCGACTTCAAAAAAACCAAAAACTAATAACAAACAAAAAGTCAAAACTAAAAAGCAAAAAATAACTATGATTAGTACTGATAGATTACCCACCCACTGATAGGTAAGAAGTCGGTTTTTTAAACACAGTTTTTATTTTAGTTTAGTCTTTATACGTCAGTATAATCTGTGGTGACAGCTTTTTTCCACTATGTCAAAGACAATGGTTTTGTTTCGTCTCGAGATTTTAGAATAAGCACGAAAGATATTTGTGGAGATTATTTTAAAATAATTATACAAAGGATTGTTTGAAGCAATAGCTCTTAATGTTGTTTCTTTTACAGGTTAGTAGACAATAATGTTTATCTAATTCTAATTACCTAAGTGAGTTGTGTATTTGCAAAACCATTTCATTTGTTCTGTTGTATTTATGAATAAACTTTCTTTTACAGAGCAACAACATAAGTAATTTGTTTCAATAACCAACCTATTACACATGTATTAGTTCTAAGTGTCATAAGACTGGCGCCGCACCGTACTGATTCATTAATTTGTTTTACTCGCCGGTGAAATTCGCCCGGTACGTTTCACCGGCCGCGAAACCCTGTCGCCGCTCCCCGTGGCTTGCTCTGTAGGTATATTTCTGTGTTTATGTCAGGCCAGGCCGTATGTGTAGTCATGACTGCTGAATGAACGGATTTATAATTACCGCTAAATCGTCGAGAGTAGATTTATCTTCCTGAGGTAGCGGTGTCAGCAGAGACGGTACCCATTGCAAAAGTAATAGGAAGAAAGCTGAAACCAAAAAACCAAGCGTCACGTAACTGCACAGTTGGTGCACTGCTGCTGACTGCACGGTTCGCGCGGCAACCGGCTGCCGGGCAACGTGTCACGGGTTCGACTCTCGCAGGGAACAACTCTTTGTGTGTTTGTAAACGCACCCACGACACAGGAGAAAATCTTAGAGTGGGGCAAAGTTATAGTAACTTAACTCGTCGAGTACCGGTTTTGTAGACACAATTATAGAACAATAGGTTGCGGTCACCGGTGACCGCTTGGTGTTTGACAGTTTAAAAAAAATAGTCTCATCGTTCGCTTGATAAAATTGACGCGTAAAAGTGCCTTGTAGCCTATTTGCAGGAATAGATTCACTTGTTTCACTGTAGTTGAACAACTGGCTGTACAACATGCCGTGGGTTCGGTGTTCCCACAAAAAAAATTGGAGTCTGGTGACCCACGTATCACTATCTCTTGTGTGTACCCACGAAAGATATAAAAATCCTAGTGTGGGGCAAGGAAACATAACATAACATCCTTTTATCCCCCCCTTTATGGGGTAGGCACAGGTGCACATTACGGCACCTATTGCCACTGCGCAATGTAACACCCACTTTTGTCTATTTATGTTGAGTCCCATGCAATAGGGGGTGAGCCTATTGCCATATACCGGGCACGATTCTAGACTCCGTACTACTACTGAGATTTTTTTTAAAATACCTAATAATACTTTGCCCGACCAGGGAATCGAACCCGAGATTTCTTTCCCAGCAGTCGCACTTTCAACCACTCAGCCAACGAAGCAGTCTAGCAAAAAAACTTGGTATTAACTCGTCGAGTATCGTCAATACAGACACAATTATAGAACAATAGGTTGCGGTCACCGGTGACCGCTTGGTGTTTGACAGTGTAAATAGAAAAACAATATGTTGTGATTGGAAATAATGCACAGTTAGTCACTGTTTCAAAAACAGTTGTTTTTAGCGAAATATCCTCTATCAACATATTTCCGGTTCAGTAATCGAAAAGAGAAAGCTAGAAGACAGGGTGCAAACGCGACGCTTCAGAGAACCTTGTCAAACTTTAAGTGTGTGAGAGCCATGCTTCGGCACGAATGGGCCGGCTCGACCGGAGTGATACCACGGCCGAGCAGAAAACCGACATGAAGCAACGTTTGCGTTGTGTTTCGTCTTGTGAGTGAGGTTGCCGGAGGCCCAATTACGCTCCCCTTCCCCAATCTCCCCAATCCCTGAATCCCCTGATCCTCAAATCCTAATCCCCAAAAAGTCGGTAACGCACTAACGCCTCTGGTGTTCCAAGTGTCCATGGGCGACGGCGATTGCTTATCATCAGGTGATCTATCTGCTCGTTTACCCGCTTATGACATAAAAAAAAACGGTTTTAAAATTTTTACCGTTTTTTGTATTCGAGTTATTCATGCAACATCAGCCTTGAGCAGTTGATTACAACTATAATTACTTAAACTGTCAAACACCAAGCGGTCACCGGTGACCGCAACCTATTGTTCTATAATTGTGTCTACAAAACCGGTACTCGACGAGTTAAAATAAACATTCTAATTCTTAAATTTTTTTAAAATCACCGAATATGGATCACCTGATGGTAAGCAACCTGCGCCCATGGACACCAGAGGAATCTCAGGTGTGTTGCCGGCCTTTTAACAAGGAATACACTCTTTTCTTGAAGGTTTGAAGGTCGTATCGGTCCGGAAATACCGGCGACGACAGATCATTCCACAGTTTTGATGTGCGAGGCAGAAAGCTACGAGAGAAGTGCAAGGTAGTGGCCTGCCAACCATCTATTTGATGGTATGGATATGCTGTCGTGAGTGTCGATGGTGAAAAGATTCGGCAGGTATAAAGTAACAAGTAACAATTCCATCACAAGTCTCCGTTTTTTGGAAACATTAAAATGAAATAGGTAGATAGGTACTTACTGAATTTAGTTCTAAACATGTTAAAAGCGAGCACTAGCCACAAATTTTCCTAAACCAATATAATACATAAATATTTTTTATTATAATTACAACTAATTACTAGAAAACGAATCGATTTACAAATATTAGTTGCAGTCATTAGTACGGCATGCTATTGTTTCAAATATATTTTGTAGGGTTCTAAAAAATTAAAGCATACTATATTATTATCGCAGAGTAAATAATTAATTGTTATGTTTTGCGGCTCACGTATTTAGAAGACACGCGCCAATCACGCATAAAAATCTTACAGTAGGACGAAGCTTTCATTCTCGTGTAATATCGTCTAGACAAGTAGACAGTAACTCATCGGCCAGGGTTGCCAAATATAATAATATAGGCTGATAAGATTTCTACCGCTTATACCACGGGGAGTGCTCTGAGGAATTGTTTGACCTGATACCTGCCGCATCTTTTCGCCATCGACCCTCACGACAGCATATGCATCCCCATCATATAGATGCTTGGCAGGCCACAACTGTGCGGTTCTCATGTAGCTTCCTGCCTCGCACAGCAAAACTGTGGAATGATCTGTCGTCGGCGGTATTTCCGAACCGATACGACCTTCAAACCTTCAAGAGAAGAGCGTACTCCTTTTTAAAGGGCCGGCAACGCACCTGTGACTCTTCTGGTGTTGCGGGTGTCCATGGGCGGCGCTGATCGCTTACCATCAGGTGATCCGTCTGCTCGTTTGCCTCCTATTCCATAAAAAAAAAAAGTAAGTGCGTGAGTAACTCACCAGTGCTAATAATATAGTTATAATTATGTTTGCTTTTTAATTTTTATTTGTTTTTAGTTTTTTTGAGAAATCGGTTTTTTAAACGTAGTTTTCATTTTTTATTTTATTATTTTTAGTGTAAAGCTACATAAACCCGTTTTGTCACTTATAATCCACATAGGTGCAAAGTTCTAATCAATACAAATAATACAAACCCAAACACAAGGTAGTTACCACAGTTGATGAGTTATATTTCGACAGCACCATCAGTTTTGAAAACCATGAAAACGATACCCATGACGATAAATGACATGACATGGCAGTATACTTAAGTCTAAATCTAAGAAAGTAGTACATAAGAAGAAACAACAAGAAACGCTGTAGTCAAAATTTGCAGGGCTTTCCATCAAAATCTTTAGAAATTGAATTATTTTTAGAAAAATTTACTTTTGATATTATTTGTATTACTGAACATTGGCTGAAGGATTATCAAGTAAAATCTATACATTTTGGAAACTATTGTGTTGGTAACTATTTTAGCCGTCAAACAATGATACATGGTGGTAGCCTAATTTTAGTAAAAAATTCAGTTAAATATAAAGAAAGACAAGATATTACATTATTATCAACTAGCGACCCGCCCCGGCTTCGCACGGGTGCAATATGCATGATATAAACCTTCCTTAAGAATCACTCTATCTATTAAAAAAAACCGCATCAAAATCCGTTGCGTAGTTTTAAAGATCTAATCATACATACGGACATACAGCGAAAGCGACTTTGTTTTATACTATGTATTGATAGAGCATACAATAGAGTTGTCCTGTGTTGAGCTGGATAAGCATATTATTTAATAATATTTTTAGCTCCATAATGGAAGATGTACTGCAATTTGCAAAAGACGTGTTGTAGTAGCAAGTGTACTATTATGTGGCGATTTTAATGTTGATCTCTTGGAAAATAACTCTATTAGTACTAATTTGTTAAGACTCTTTAAATCTTTTGATTTGTCTAATGTTCTCCTTGAGCTTACCCGTGTAACATCCACCACGGCAAAATGTATAGATAATGTTTTATGTAACTGTGATTATTTACATCAAGATATGGTTAACAGATTATCATCTGAACACAGTGGGCTGACAGTTAGCTTTAACACCATCACCTCTGTACAAAAAAGAGAAATTATGTTTAGACAGATCTCTAATAAAAAAAATGATTCATTAAATAATAATTTAAAAACTAAATTATGCGGTCAAATACAAGGTAGTGAATACCCGAGTGAGACTTACGCCAACCTATTGTCAATTATTAAAACTCAATTTGATAAAATATTCCCTTTGAAACGTAAAAACATTTAATGTAGGTTTGTGTTCTGTGACTGGGCTACACCAGGTATACGTATAAGTAGGGAAAGGTTATTTGAGTTTGACGATATGAAACCATTTAATCATAGTGAGGTTTTTCACAGTTAACTATGTCTCCAAATATTCGAAAATGTTTTAAATAGTTTGTAAGCATGCTAAAGCTTTAGCAGTAAAATTAAGACCGCAGAAAATAAAATAAAAACTACCTGGAATATAATTAATAACGAAACAGGTAGAAATAAATCGCGCAATGCAGAATTTAATCTAAATACTGCGAATGGACACATCAATTCAAATTCAATCAATTGGAAAGTTGCCCAAGAATTTGAAAGTTTCTTTAAAAATATTCCGATTAAAACTACGGAAGCGTTGAAATCATCTCCAACTCCTTGTGTTGAACCCCTTAAAAGTAATGTCAAGGAGTGTCTTTCTGAATTTCGATTTCAGTACACAAATCCTCAAGCAGTAATTAAAGCGTTCAAAGATATCAAAGTTAAGTCTACTAAAAGTCAAAAGTCAAAGTTAAATAAGGTCTTTTATAGAGACTATTGCGCCTCATTTAGCTTCCATTTTTAATAAAAGTGTAGATTACGGAGTTTTCCCGGATTTAATTAAACATAGTAAAGTAGTTTCATTGTTTAAATCCGGTGATAGCGCAGAACCCAATAACTATAGGCCGGTCTCTATTTTACCAGCGCGCAGGAAAGTGTATGAAAGGCTGATGCTTTCTCAGATATTGCGTCATTTCAACATTAATTCCGTCTTTCATGCTCAACAATACGGATTCACCAAGGGTCGCTGCACTACTGACGCGGGAGTGGCTCTAATTAAGCGGGTTTTTGACTCATGGGAAGAAGCACGGGATGCCATCGGAATATTTTGTGATCTTTCGAAAGCATTCGACTGTGTTGAACATGAAACACTATTGCTGAAGCTGAAACACTATGGCATTCGGGGGACGTCGCTAAATCTGTTGAAATCATACCTTCAGGATAGGCAACTTAAAGTAAAACTACATAAAATAAATTCACAGGGTGCTAGCATATCTATAGGTGTACCGCAGGGCTCGATACTAGGGCCATTCTTATTTTTAGTGTACATAAATGACTTGCCCCATTTATTTAAAAACGAACCGCAAATGGTATTATTTGATGATGACACTTCATTCGTTTTTAAAATAAATAGACGCACAAATAATTATGACGACGTAAATAATGCCCTAATGAAAGTTCAAAATTGGTTTACATTAAATAACTTAGTATTAAACAATAAAAAGACAAAATGTATTAGATCTGTTTTGCCAAATGTTAAAAGCAACGAATGTGACATATTATTGAATGGTGAGAAATTAGAGTTTGTAAAAGAGACAACTTTACTGGGAATTACTGTAGACGACAAATTGCAATGAGGTCCTCACGTTACATCATTAGCGGGACGATTGAGCTCTGCAGCTCGTTCATGGGATTCTGTGTTAAATGTTATAATAAGATACCAGGCGACATACAACACCTAAATGAATCAAAATTTAAATTATGTATAAAGAAAACTTTATGTAGACAAGCGTATTACAAACTTAATGATTATATAGTGGATAAAAATGCTTGGATACAGGCTAGTCCGGCTCCACAGGATAACAAAAAACACTGATGTTTTAATGAAATCGTAAATAATACAGCCATATTGCTAAATTGTATATTGTTGAACTTAGATAACCATTGTGAATTGTCATCTTGCTGGCAGCGTAGAGTTGTCATGCTCACTCAAAGGTCTCATTGACGGTGGCGCGTGCAGTGGATCGCTTGATTCCCTACAATATGGTTGAGTTGGGCGGTGCTGGTGTACGTGCCATGTTCGTGAACGGGCGCCGTCAACTGGGACTGGTCAGCTCCAGACTGTATTATTTATTGTCCTTAAGGTTATTTTCTTATTCGATCACTTTGACTAGATTTTAGTGTTACAGGGTGATTCTTTGAAACACAGTTTTGACGTGTTTTTGACCGAAGAACACATCAAAAGAACTTTCGATTTGAATGATAGTTTCAGGTTTTATGTTAAGGGTAAATGTCTATCGAGGCCTGCTGTAGCTAATTAGGATTTATTAAAAAAAACTATAATTAAGTTTGCAGAAAACAGTAAAACC